AGGAGGAGATGTCATATCCGTCTCCTAATCCTCTCACGATATCTGCGTATGATCTCCTTACATGCTTCGCCCTCGAGTGCGGTAATCTCTGTCTATTTTTTATATGCAATTGCAAAACACTGTTCTCACACCTTCGGTGGATTATTGATTATTTTGGAGGACTCGTGCTTATGACCACACCTCCCACGCACCTGCGCAATTCCAGCGGTGTAAGTTGTTGGGGTGGGTTGCTTTCAGACATGATAATCGTACAATTTGCAAGAACCAATTCACACACACCCACACACTCACACACCTACACACACACACACACACACACCTACACACACACACACACACACACACACACCTACACACACCTACACACACCCAACCATGCCTCCATTGCATGTGTACCCTGGTAGAAGAGGTTCGGGCGGTCCACTGTGCCGCGGATGACGGTTGGTTGCGTCATGTGCAGGATGGAGATGACGTCACGCACGACGTCCCGCTTTGCCGTGGCCGTTGCAGCCTGGTGGTAGCGCCATGGGGGGGGGCACGCGTGCACATGCGCAGAGATGTGGTGTGGTGTGTGTGTGTGGTGTGTGTGTATGTGTGTGTGTGTGTGTGTGTGTGTAAGAAAGTGTGCGCATGCTTGTGTGTGTGGCAGCGTGACAGAGGCGCAGACACGCACGCACAAACGCACGTACAAACACGCACGCAGAATCACTTCGCGCACCAAGAGAGGGATGTGTGGGAACTGAGCTTTAAGGTCTCCCAACCGCGTGAAGGCGGGCCGGAAGTCGTGGCCCTGGTGGTGTTTGAAGATGCAACGCGTCAGTCCAAGATACCGTTCACACACACATACACACATACACACATACAGACCCCCATATATGCGAGGGTACACGATCACCATCGATTGTACATGACGATACATGGGCCGCTGCTGAACTGACCCACTGGGAGACGCAGTGTGCCTCGTCCACGGCAAAGATGCCGAGGAGGTTGAGGTGGTCTAGCCGACGTAGACGCCGCTGCATCTCTGATGGAAGCACGGCGGGTTGATGGGCCCGTGAACACGACACAAGGACGCAGACACAACGCAGACGCTCGAACCAACAATTCAAGTGCATGCAAATCCGCAAACAAGAATGCACACATACACGCACACACACACACACACATACACGCACGCACACACATACACACACACACACGCACATACATACACGAACACACACACACACACCTGGGTGGAGCAGGGACTCTGGTGTGATGTAAACAAGCTTGAGCGTTGGTGCTGCCGACTCGAGGTCAGACAGGATGGCTCCCTGTTGCTGCTTGGGAATAGATGAATTGAGAGCAGCGCACTTGATCCCGCGCCCTTGCAGTGTATCCACCTGCCCGCAGCCAAACACAGACATGCTCGTGAAGCCAAACACGTTGCAGACACACACACACACACACACACACACACGCACAAATACCACATACAAATGCCTGCAACGCACAAGCAAACGCACGTACACGCACATGTACATTCTCGAACATACCTGGTCTTGGATGAGGGCAATGAGAGGCGACACAACAAAGGATACTCCTGGAAGCACAATGGCTGGCAGCTGATAGCACAGGGACTTGCCTCCACCTGGAAGGAAGGTGCGTGTGTGCGTATGTGAGCGTCTGCGAGTGTGTGGCTTGGCTCACGTGTGCGACACACACAC